AAAATTATAACAGTATATTATAATAAAACTTATGTGAACGTGGTCTCCCTCTCTCTCTCTCTCTCAATATCTTATTGTACAAATTTAATGACTTTTCCATTTCCATCTTAACTAAGCACTTATCACACGCTCTGGCCATAACTTTTTTTTTTTTTTTTTTTTTTGCGGCACACGGGCCTCTCCCTGTTGTGGCCTCTCCCGTTGCGGAGCACAGGCTCCGGACGCGCAGGCTCAGCGGCCATGGCTCACGGGCCCAGCCGCTCTGCGGCATGTGGGATCTTCCTGGACTGGGGCACGAACCCGTGTCCCCTGCATCGGCAGGCGGACTCTCAACCACTGCACCACCAGGGAAGCCCTGGCCGTAACTCTTGCAGTCTGAGTCGCAATAAGAAAAACTAAAATGAATTTCTTTTTCCTTCTTCACAATTTCACAAATAGAAGATTTGTCTTTGCCGTAGATCCTAGCAACCTCAGTACATAATTGTTTTTCTTTCCTTATTAAGTCAAGAACATTCACCTTTTCACTTAAAGGGAGAACTTTACAGCTTCTTTTTGGCATATCTGAATTGCCAGCATCACTATTCCTGTACTTTGGGGCCACTATTAAGTAATGAAATACCTTGACCATTGATCTGAAAACCAAGACAACTATTAAGTGACTAAGGGCAGGATACACTGGGCAAAGAGGTGATTCACATCCCAGGTGGGACAGAGGACAGCACAAGATTTCATCATGCTGTTCAGGATGGTGTGCAATTTAAAATTTATGAATTGTTTATTTCTGGAATTTTCCATTTAACATTTTCAGACCATGGCTGTTCGCAGGTAACTGAAACCTCAGAAGGTGAAACTGCACATAATGGGAGGGCTGCTCTACCATTTCATACCCATTAGGATGTCTACTATCAAAACAAGAAAATAACAAGTTGGTAAGTATTTGAAGAAATTGGAACCCTTGAATACTGTTTGTAGGAATGTAAAATTGTGCAGCTATTGTGGAAGACACTATGGTGGTTCATCAAACAATTAAAAATAGAATTATCATATGATCCAGAATTCTACTTCTGGGTATATATCCAAAAGAATTGAAAGCAGGGTCTTGAGGAGATATTTGCATTTCTTCGTGTCTAGCAGCATTATTCATAATAACCAAAAGGTAGAAGCAACCCAAGTGCTCATTGACACATGAATAGCTAAACAAAATGTGGTTTATACATAGAATGGAATATTGTTCAGTTCTAAAGAGGAATAAATGCTGACATACGCTGCAACATGGATGAATCTTGAAGACATTGTGCCAAATGAACTAAATCAATCAAAAAAGAACAAATACTGTGTGATTCCACATATATGAAGCACTTAGAGGATTCAAATTCATAGAGACAGAAAGTAGAATGGTGGTTGCCAGGAGCTGGGGTGAGGACAGAATGGAGAGTTGTTTTTCAATGTGCACAGAATTCTAGTTTTGGCAGACGAAAAGATGGAAAGCCAACACCCCATCATGTAAAAACTCTCAGTAAACCAGGAATAGAGGGGAACCTTCTCAACTTGGTTAAGGCTATCTACAAACCCCTTGTGACTAACATCATGCTTAATGGTGAGAGACTTGAAGCTTTCTCATTAAGATCAGGTATAAGGTAAAGGATATTGCCATTCATCACTCCTTTTCAACATCATAGTAGAAGTCCTCGCTAACTCAATAAGGCAAGAAAAGGAAATAAAAGGTATGCAGATTGGGAAGGAGGATACAAAACTGTCCTCATTTGCAGATGACATGATTGTCTATATAGAAAGCCCAAAAGAATTAACAAAAAAACACCCTGGAACTAAGTGATTATAGTAAGGTTGCAGGGTACAAGGTTATCATACAAAAGTCAATTGCTCTTCTATATACCAACAATGAACAAGTGGAATATGAAATAAAAAATACAATACCATTTACATTACTACTCCTAAAAATGAAATACTTTGGTAAAACCTAATAAAATATATTTAAGATCTATATGAGGAAAATTACAAAACCCTGATGAAAAAATCAAAGAAGAACTAAATAAATGGAGAAATATTCCATGTTCATGGATAGGAATACTTAATATTGTCAGGATGCCATATCTTCCCACCTTGATTTTTGGATTCAATGTGATCCCAATGAAAATTCCAGCGAATTATTTTATGGATATTGACAGACTAATTCTAAAGTTTATGTGGAGAGGCAAAAGACCCAGAATAGCTAATACATATTGAAGGAGAATAAAGTTGGAGGACTTACACTGCCCTTAATATAAAGCTACAGTAATCAAGACAGAGTGATATTGGAGAAAAAATAGACAAATGGATCAAAAGAACAGAATAGAGGGCTCAGAAATAGACCCTCATAAATATAGTCAACTTATATTTGACAAAGGAGGAAAGGCAATACAATGGAGCCAAGATAGTCTCTTCAACAAATGGTGCTAGAAAAATTGGACAGCCACATGAAAAAAATGAATCTAGACACAGACCTTATACCCTTCACAAAAATTAACTCAAAATGAATCATAGATAGACCTAAATGTAAAATGCAAAAATACAAAGCTCCTAGAAAATAATATAGGAGAAAACCTAGATGATCTTGTGTATGGTGATATCTTTTTAGATACAACACCAAAGACATGATCCAATGGAAGAAATAATTGATAAGCTGAACTTAGTTAAAATTAAAAACTTCTGCTATGTGAAAGAATATCAAAATTGGAAGACAAGCCACAGTAGGAAGAAAACATTTGCAAAAGACACATCTGATAAAGGACCGTTATCCAAAATATACAAAAAACTCTTAAAACTCAGCAATAAGAAAACAAACAGCCCAATTAAAAACTGGGCCAAACACCTCAACAGACACTTCACTGAAGAAGATATATAGATGACAAATAAGCATATGAAAAGATACTCCACATACGTCATCACGAAAATGCAAATTAAAACTAGATACCACCACACACCTACTAGAATGGCAGAAATCCAGAACACCAAATGCTGTCAAAGATGTGAAGCAAAAAGAACTCTCATTCATTGCTGGTGGTACAGCCACTTTGGCAGATTGTTTGGAGGTTTCTTACAAAACTAAACATGCTCTTACCATACAGTCCAGCGTTCATGCTCCTTGGTATTTACCTAAACGAGATGAAAACCTATGTCCACACAAAACCCTGGACATTGATATTTATAGACGCTTTATTCATAATTGCCAAAGCTGGGAAGCAAACAAGATGTCCTTCAGTAGATGAATGGGTAAACTATGGTGCCTCCAGACATTGGAATATTACTCAGTGCTAAAAAGAAATGAGTTACCAAGCCATAAAAAGACATGGAGAAATATTAAATGCATATTACTAAGTGAAAGAAGCCAATGTGAGAAGACTACATACTGTATTATTCCAACTATATGACATTCTGCAAAAGTCAAAACTATGGAGACAGTAAAAAGATCAGTGGTTGTGGGGGAGTGAGGGGAGGTGGGGAAAGAGAAGAGATGACTGGGCAGAGCACAGGGGTGGTGACAATACTCTGTATGATATAATGATGCATGTATGTAATTATACATTTGTCACACTCTAGAGTGTGTGCTCACTCACAAGAGTGAGCCCTAAGGTAAATTATGGACTTTGGATGATTGTGATATGTTAATGTATGTTCACGCTTCGTAAGAAATGTACCATTCTGGCGAGTGGTGTTGAGAATGGATGAGGCTATGCATGTGTGGGAGCAGAGTTTACAAGACATCTCTGCACCTTCCTTTCAATTTTATTATAAACCTAAAACTTCTCTAAAAAAATAAAATTTTTAAGTGAAAAAAAAGAGGTTCTAGAAATGGATGGTGGTGATGATTGCACAACATTGTGAAAATACTTAATACCACTAAACTGTACGTACACTTAAAAATGGTTAAGATGGTAAATTTTATGTTATATATATTTTGCTACATTGAAAAACATTCTAGAAGGAGGATTGGCCCAAAGAAACTTGCTGATTATTACTAGAAATGGAAGTTGGGCGCTCACATTTATACTTAATATCTACTCTGTGCCAAGGATGATCATGTGTTTTACATTATTACTTCACATAATTAGTAATAATTTAAGTGAGAGCTACTTGTCTATTTGTCTTTGGTTTTGTTTTTGCGGTACGCAGGCCTCTTACTCTTGTGGCCTCTCCCGTTGCGGAGCACAGGCTCCGGACGCGCAGGCTCAGCGGCCATGGCTCACGGGCCCTAGCCGCTCCGCGGCATGTGGGATCTTCCCGGACCGGGGCACGAACCCGTGTCCCCTGCATCGGCAGGCGGACTCCCAACCACTGCGCCACCAGGGAAGCCCTACTTGTCTATTTGGCAAGCAGTCACTGAGCACTTAGTGTGTAGGCGTTGAGCTAGGGTTTGGAGATTCAACAGCAAACAGCACTAGTGCAGCCCATGGCTGGAAGGGCTAAGAGTCTCAGGTTCTACTGCAGGATGCAGACCCCTTACAGCACAAGATGGGAAGAACAGAAGAGGAGCATCTACCCCTGGCTCCTACGTTCCAGGTCCTGCTATACATCTACATACATTATCTCATCGAATCCCCCAGCAAGTCTAAGAGTTAGGCAGTATTATCCCCATTTTAAAAAGGATGACCTTGAATTTCAGATCTAACATACCTAAGATTATACAACTGCTTAAGTAAGTGGTAGAGCTGAAATGCCAAGACCAAGTTTGTTATCCAAGGCCCGTGTCCTCTATACACAAGGGTTTCCAAAATTGTTCTGTCAATCAAGCTGCCTCAAGGCAGAGTTTCCCCGTGAATAAAGAAAAGAAAACAGTAAGGACAATACAGTGAGTTTTCTATTTAAAAGAACACTTTATTCCATTAATAGGCTATTCTATATACTGTAATTTGTCCCCTTTTACAGTTTAGAACTAAATGTTTTTTTTCTCATATGAACTGATGGGGATAATAAATGGTAGTTGTTACTCTTTTTTAGGATCCTGATGTCCAAACTCTATTCCTATATTTGGAAAATTCTGCACTTTATAAATCTCATTGGGAAGCCCTGCCTACCTCCAGCCCTGGAAGCTCAGTTTCCTAATCTTCCTTGCAGTGAGGACACAAGCCCCTGAGCTACGCTCCACTAATGGTAAGTTCATACCAGTCTTTGAACCGAAAACGGCACTGTGAAGCAAGGACTGCCCAGCAACCATTCTGGGGAGGGACGGTGGCAGCAGCAGTGGCTATATCTACTTCCAAGGGCCACGTGTCAGTTCTCAGAGCCATCCAGTGGCAGCATTGGTGATCTTAGTGATTAACCTATGGTGTCGACTGCTTAATGGCACTGGCAGTGGCTGTGCGATCTTCATCACATCAAAGATTTGGACAGTGTTCTTGATAGCTTGGCCCTAAGTCTGCAGCCCTCCTGGTGATTCTGTGAGCCACACAAAACTCTCATCATAAATTCTTTCCTACTTAAATCTGACAGAATTTAGTTTCTATCGCTTGCAGCTAAGAACCCTCGCTCTGAGAGTAGTTACTTGATTGTTTGTTCTAATACCCATTCTTGACAAACTAAAGGGGGTCACATTAAGCAGTTCCCCCAGTTTTTGAAAAGAAAAGAATATTGGTTTACGGAATAAAAAATATTTAGGAACCACGGTTATATACTATAAAATCCTAAGTTGTGCATTCAAAGCTCTATTTAATGAGCAATGAAAATGACCTAAACAGAACTGGTATCATCTTGAACTAGTACAGTGACTAAACAGAACTCTGGATAACCACATGGTCTATATTATTCAGTTGTTAATATAGCCAAATTAACCAGACTGACTTAGCAAACAAACCAGATTGACTATATGTCTAGGTAATTGCTTTCTCAGCTGCTGTGAGATGTTTGATCCAGTTAACAATATAGATCAGCTCCTCTTTTTAAAAGGTTAAAGCAGCATGTAATTAACTAATTACTGTATTGATTTATTATATTTACTTACTGAGTAGAGCTATAGGTTTTCACCAAGCCAGATGCCTGGCGTGCACGAAAGACATGAAGCTTATGATCTCAATTATCAACCATTCTTTCCATCTCCCCTGCCACCGCCATTAGTGGCCAACCACTATGACTTTTCGTCTGGGCTTTTGTAATTGCTCCCTAGCTAATTTCCTTTTTTTCTACTCGTGCTCTTCAGCAGTCCATTTTCCATTGAGGAACTAGGGTATTCTTCTAAAACATTAATTGGGTCATATTACCGCTCTGCTATAAATCCTTCAAAAATGTTTCCAGTATCCTTAGCTTTAAGTCCAAAGTGCCTAACACAACCAGGAAGGACCCACATAATCAGTTTATATTTCTAAACTTTTCTCACTGCTGCCACCTGCCCCTTGCCCCAATGTCCCAAATGTACTGTCCTCTCCATTCCTAAAATGCTTTCATCTCTTCCTGACTCAAGGCCTTTAATGATTCCTTCTTCCTGGCATGTTTTTGCTCCCCCTGTTCATCTGGCTAGCCCCTACTTAGACCTCCTGTTTTAGATTTCACTTCCTAAGGGACACCTTCTTTGACCACTCGAGACAGACCACTGATTGACTCTCTCAACACATCTGAAAGTTTTCTTTCATAGCTCTGATTGCAATCTGTAATTCTACATTTACATGCTGTTTACTTGTTTAATGTCTGTTTCCTCTATAATAGTCTGTAAGTTTAAGAAGACAGGGACCAGGCCTTTACCACCTGACGTTCAACAAAGCACCTTGTATGGGCTCCTTAAACATTTGTTGAATGAATGAATTAGCAGACGAATCCAAGGCTTATATAATCCCATGTCAAAATGTTGTTCTGGACAGGAAGTGTTCTGGACAGGAAGAAAAAGAGGGAACTCAGAGGAGCCTGGAAAGCCAAGGAAAGGCTCCTGGGGCCGGGGGCCCTTCAGGGAGACCCCAAAGGGTGCGTAAGATGTGAACAGGCTCTGAAGAGACCTGTGGGGAGAAGCTTCATTGCTAAGGAAAGGGAGGAGCCAGGAGAAAGGTGGCCAGTTGGCAGGAGAGAGTGAGAGAGGTCACACCTGGATGTCACCTGGATCTGGAGCTTGCTCTTGGGTGCCGGTGAGTAGATGGCTTCCAAGTGTACAGTAAGGCCATGAAGCAATTTCTTATTAATCCTGTCTCTTCAGTAGACACATTCATGCAGTGAAACTACTCAGGATGTAGACCACCAGGTGTGTGGTGTGGGCATTACGGCAGACACTGCAGGCTGGCTCCCTCCATCCCATGCCAGCCCCTGACAGGGGTGTGCTTGCTTCGTGCTGGAGCCTGCAAAGTTAAGATTACATGCCCAGACTCCCTTCAGCTTGATCTAGAGTCTGTCAGGCAGATAGACCCGTGCCACATTTGGGAGGAAGTGACATCATGCATAAGAGGCCACGCTTCTGCTGCTTTTTGCAAGCACAGTTGTCAAAGCACTTGCTTTTTTGCGGCAGCTGTAGCAGAGGTCTGAGAGTCAGTCACTAGCTTCCTGGATATTGAAGGCAAGGCACAGAGTATCCCTTTTGCTCACGCAGATCATGGCCACGGGAAAGTGATTCCAGGGTGAAAACTCTTGGAGAGCATATGATTTATGGATCTCTCTTAACTAATACAAGATTCAAAAGTCACTTTAGAATACAAAGACAGTGTCAATTCAATAATTTAAAATGCTCTCTGAACTTGATTTAAATTTAAAATCAACAAAACCAGGTCCTGCTATAGACTGGCCACCTGCAGGGCATTCTAGGGTGTGGTCCTTCTTTCTTTCCTCGTTCTTTATCCAGCTTGTTTTCCAGCATATGATCCCTTGGGGAGTGGATATCAGAGAGGTTGGAAGGGAAAGGAGAGTTTCTCATTTGACTGGTACTTTGTAATATGGCTTCATACTTTCTGGGTCTGGCAGATGTTTAAAGTTACTCACTTTTAGAGGTTCTCTAGAGACCTTGATATCATAGTGGTCTTTCACCTGCAGTTTCTCTGATCTGGGCGAACACATGCTATGCCTGCAGTTCCTTCCTCTACAAGCTCTAGGGAATGGGTGATCCAGCTCAGTATCATTTCTGTTGAGGTCTCTTTGTTTCTACGATGATCCTAATGGAAAGGATTAAAGATGGTTCTCCCACTGGCTCTCAAGTTCACACATATAGCCCACATCCCGGCCACAGGAAACATTCCCACATTCCTTGTCCCCAAAACTCTGTGAGTGCAGGTCCATCATAGCATAGCAGCAACCCTCCGTCACTCTGCCACCAAAACAGCTTGCCAACCCATCTCCAGCCTGTAGATTTTGAGGAGAGGAGTCAAGCCACATCCATGCTGATTCTGTAACTGCAGGGGAAACAGCAAGCTACCCAAATGATTCCCTTTCGGCCCCTCTTACTCAGTTTGTGTTAGGTGTTGACTGAAAAAAACCCCACACAACGTAAAAGTTGCAAGTTATGTTTTATCCTGAGACCTTACTGAAGATTATAGCCCAGGAGATAAGCTCTCAGATAGCTCCAAGGAACTGTTCCAAGGAGGTAAGGGAGAAGCCATGAAATATAAGAGTTTTTGCTCAGAAACAAAAACAAACATGTAGTTGACCATCAAAAGATTACTGCTAATCCCAAGAAACAGACATATCAAGTTAATGATTTTAGTGCTTTTCAAAGTGTGAGAAGATCCAAGAGTCTGGGCTCATTGGAATTATACTTTTGATATGCATCTTAACTATCTATGGCCAAAATATGTTTTTCTCCATTGGAATTCCCCCCAGGGCACACCATGGGCGGGGTGGAGGGGGGCATGGCTGCAATGGCTGATGGCTTGATGGCGGGCGACATTCTTTGTTAACTGAAGTGCAGGTGACATTCTTTGCCCCCATAGGAGTAGACACCCTTCCCCCTTAGGATGGGGGCTTGAGACTCATAGCACACCAGCATCTCTTTCTTTAAAAAATTTTCACACCTAATCCTCTCTCTCTACCCTCTACTATTTTAAGTCCTTGATAGGATTAACTCATCTAATCAGTTCCCTGCCATCTCTTACACCTACTTTGACATTTCTGCAGAGTAATCTATTTTGCAACTCACTGATCATATTGTTGCTACATGTATACATGTATTCTTAACATTTTTTTACATCATCTCTCCCCACCTCTAATTTCTGCCTTTCTAAGAGAACATTGCTTTGGGGGGATATTCATCCCATCTCTAGCCCCTAGCACGGATCCTGACTAGTATAATCCAATCATAGTACTTTTACCCCTCTTACCAATGATTGAATCAGGAATTAAGGTTTAAGCTAATCAGGAAAGTATTCTCCTGGTCTGTTATTATCTCAGGTTGAGCTTATGTCCTAAATTAGCCCAGTTATATCAAAAGGCAAGAGGTTCCTTCTCTATTTCACCTGCTTGGTATAAGAAAGGAAGTGTGTTGTGGTAGTTGCTACTGGCAGCCTTCTTGTGATCATGAGGAAAACTATCCTGAGGACAATACCAAACTATGGAGGAGACAAAGCTGAGACCTGGAAAGCTTTTTTTTTTTTTTAAAGGTCAGCAGATTTTTTTTTTAATAAACTTATTTTATTTATTTTTGGCTGCGTTGGGTCTTCATTGCTGCACACGGGCTTTCTCTAGTTGTGGCGAGCAGGGGCTACTCTTCGTTGCAGTGCGCTGGCTTCTCATTGTGGTGGCTTCTCTTGTTGTGGAGCAAGGGCTCTATGCGGGCTCAGTAGTTGTGGCTCACAGGCTCAGTAGTTGTGACACGCAGGCTCTAGAGCACAGGCTCAGTAGTTGTGGCGCACGGGCTTAGTTGCTCTGCGTCATGTGGGATCTTCCCGGACCAGGGCTTGACCCGTGTCCCCTGCATTGGCAGGCAGATTCTTAACCACTGCGCCACCAGGAAAGCCCCTGGAAAGCTTATTATGGTATGGCTGGGATTGTTCTACTTTTAGACTTCTTGTTGTAAGAGGAAATAAAAGTCTTTATTATTTTAGCCAATCTGAGTCAGAGTTTTTGTTATTAACAAGGAAAAGCCAGGATCTTCCATAGATTCCCTGTCAGATCATGAGTCCTGAACCATTCCCCGTGGAAATGGAAACATCCAGTGATGGAAAACAATTAGTATAGCATAGGTCACTTGTTTC